CTTACAATTAAATCTTCAGCAACTAAAAGGGGAAAGAAGTATTTTGTCTCAATTACTTTGATGTTCTTTATAAGTTCTCAGTTCATTTGACTAAATATTATGCATTAACTTTTTGTGCAAGACATTTATTACTTCTTGCCATGTACTCTTGGTCTTCCCCTTATCTTATATCTTCTACATTAATTTAATTTATATGTGTATCTGCTGCACTCTCTGCTCAACCGGACATGTACAACTACCTGATAAAATTTGCTTCAACTTTCTCTTATAATTTACTTAATGTTAATAGGTATCTCTTATGGAATTGAAGTATTTTATTTATCTTTTTCAAGGCTTATTCAGTATTCCTTTCTTGGATCAGTTTATAGTATACTAAATAATTATGTTAGTTAGGTGAGCAACTATGAGCAAAACATAACTAAGCCTATTAAATGGTTCGTGAATTATGTTGTGGTATTGTTGCTCATACCCTGCAATTTTTCTTAGTATTGCTGTTCACGAGAATGATATGTGAGCATTAATTCTTTTTTTTCTCCACACACACACACACACACACACACACACACACACACACACACACACACACACACACATATATAGATAGATAGATAGATAGATAGATATATTGCCATTTGAGTTAAAATACCTTATAAAGACTGTCTGAATTTCAGTTGGACCTAATTTTTCACATCATAAAAATAATTAATAACATATCTAGCAGATTCCTAAGGGATTAAATTATCTAAATTAGATTCTTGTCCAGTCCGTAACTCATATGAATTAATTATAAGTTTTCATGGATTTTTTATAATCTATAATCATTAGAGTTTGTTTTAAACTATTTGAATAATCATTTAAAGCTTTAATATTAAAAGTGAGCTAATTTTGTATTCAACCAGGACAAACTTTGGCCATGGGAATTTTCAAGTGCTTAATTTTTGGGTATTTCTCTAAAATGCTTTCAAGATTTATAAAACATAACCCCATGATTGGAAGCTACACATAACTCTTCAAATTTCATCATGGTGGTTCGACAAGCTAAGATTGCAACCATGCTTGGTTGAAAAACAAATTATCATTGGAAATGAAGATAATACATGCCACCATACTAAAAAACTGATTTAATACATGTTATATGCATAACCTTCTTCTTTCTTCATTTTGAAATATGATAATGTTACATATACTCCTCCATATTCTCATTTTAAATGGAAGTAAATGAATTTTATTTGGCATGGTTTACCTTAGGTTTAGCTCGGTGGCCTACTTCTTTGTAGAGACTTTGCACTGACCCCTTGTTTATGGATGCCATTCTAGGAAGATTGAGCAACGAACCTCAAACTACTTGCAGTAGATTGATCAACAAAATATTAGATGAACACCTTGAATTGATTGTACAATGATGTTCCTCACCAAATTACCACTCTATGGCCCATTTTTGCCACATTTTGGACCTGTGGAGGGGCCATCAGATCAAGAAGGGCCAGTAGAAGTGCTAGATAAGAAAAAATATAGGCCACAAATTCTAGGGTTGTCAAAACAACTCATTGTTCGCCGACATCACGTATTTGGCTTGTTAAGTAGCTCGTGCTCTATTCGTTCATCAAGCGAATGAGTCAAACACAAACAATTTTTTTTGTGCTCGATATATAAATGTGTCAAACACGAACAAAGACTTGTTCGTTTGTGTTTGACTCGTTTTGGCTTAAAACAATTATATATGTCTAATTGATGAGTATTATTTTTTAAAAAATTAATTGGCTGCAAGGCTACAAAAATTTATAATCTATTAAAATTTTTAATTAAAAAATAGAATAAAAATATATTAAATTATGTTTAAATGATGTTTGAATATAAATAATAAGATTTTTATCTCACCCCTATCCTTAGCATCCTATGACTTTGTGACTAGGGTTGTCAAAACTGTTCTGTGTTCAACTCGTGCTCAACTCACAAAGCAAACATGCCAGACACAAACAAAATTTTTTTTGTTTGAAATATTAACAAGCAAAACATGAATTGTGGTATTTTTTAATGTGC